TAGTATTAGTTTGAATTAAGGCATTGTGCATCGTACTGAAAACTTTGAAAGATCTAATCAGAAATTCTCTCTTCGCTTAAAATGTTATCTACGACCTCAAATTAAGCGGTTTGAGAAGCTTTTCTTTTTACATCCGAAACACTTCGCCGAGTATTTTCTCCGGATGATCAAGCACGATCAGGCTGGGTGATCTAGCACTTCGGTTGGCAGGTTCTATTCAACCGCGGTGAAAATCCATTCACTTAATGCTTCTCTTCCTTCCTCTTTCTACCTGCTTTCAAACTCGCGTTTCACCCTCTTCCTTCTTTACGTCTTCGGCGTTTCCTCTCTCGTTTTCCCTTTCTCGCCGGCCCGTTATCAGCAACTTTCCACTTTAACTAACAACAATTCGGCAAGCAAACAATTAAGCTACCGCTGCGAAGAACCAGAGGAAAAGTTGAGAACACGGTACGTCGTCGACTGCGACGGAGTTTCATTTGTCAGGGGTGACCCGTGTCACAAAGGAAAACTGTAGCGCAGGAAAATTAAAGTATTAACGAACCGCGACGTTTTCCCTGTGGGTTTTCTCCCGTCTTTTAGATAAGATACTGACAACCGGAAACTAGTTTCGTTGCTCCACCCGTTTCTGGACTACCCCGGTTGGACTTGAATTCTTCATGAGGTTCGACCTGAATGTCCTTCGCCGAGTTCTCGAGATCCTGCGCGACGTCGTCCCAGGCGCAGTAGTAGTTAGGCTTATCTGCCTCCGGAATTGCTAATGAACAATCGAAATTGAGCAGCGTCTCGTGTTTACCTGGAATCTGAGCTATGGTAAGCCGTGGTGTAATGTATTACGTCTCGATTCGGTATGGAATTATCCAATAATTTCAAGAGGAGTTCCAGAACTCACAGCATTAATATTAGTACAATTGAAGATAATCCTGACCCACAGTTCAAAAACTAAAGTAATTGATTACGTATCCGATTTATTTGTGTTAAACGAACTGTATTAGTTTGCACGTGTCAAACGCACGTTCGGTTCTTTGTTAAATGATTTCTAAAGCCTCTAATCCTTATCATTAGTGCGGTGGAAACCATGTCGACCGAGGGAAAACAACAATGTGGATTCGGAGATACGGTTCAAAAGTCTGTTCGGAATTTCGATTAATTGCGGGAACGTAACCGTCTACGTGTTGGTCATGCGGCAATTCATTCCCGAACACGTGCCATACTTCTGTTGTCGCTAATTATCGCTCATTGTGTTCGCCTCTGATAATTACTATTAAACCGTGCCTTTCATTAGTATCGAAATGCTTATTTAGTCGGATCGATAAGGGTGACGCGCGTGGGTTCGTAGTTTTCAGTAATTACAACTTGTTTGCGCCAAACTGACGATTATTATTTATAATTTGGTATCGAGTCGCAGGTAGAACATGGAAATTTTCAAATATGATGTCAATTCATTTTTAAAATCAATTAGTTAATTCGATTTTCCTATCACTTATTTATTATAAATTACGATTACGATTATGATTACTAAAAGATGATGAAAACTATTAAAATGAAGGTAAAGTTTCTCATAGAGATTTTATAAACCTACCATATAGCATATTTTTATTTCGATTAAAATTATGAATTAGTATTTGCTTCCTCATTGGCTCATATATCCGTGTATTTATTTAGTGTTTTGTTGCAATTTTTGCTATTAACAGTGGCATCAGCAACTTCAGTTTGTTCGCGTTGAAACAATCGAGCGAGCATGCAAACAATGTTATTCCCGGTATCCGCAAGCAGATAAATTTTTCGTATTCCGCAATGTTTGGCAATTGCTGGGGACGTTTGTAAAAAGTTCATGTATGCAACTCCGCGATTGCGCGACCACCTTTCGCATTCGTCGTTCGAGATTAATCGACGAGAGGAAGCGAGGATGTCTCGTAAGACGGGCAAGGTTAGAAGAAAGCCGACGAAGAAGAAGTTGAGAAAGATCTGGCCGACGAAAATCGCAGCGCTGATCGTATCCGCCATACAAGATCTTGGCGAGACGAAGGGACCAACCCCGAGCAAGATCATAGATTATATCAGTTACACGTCGGATATGGCCGACATGAAGGTTAAACGACGAGTGAGTCGCTTCCTTGGTTGTTGAAATGAGAGTCTAAACCAAACTACACATTGTAGTAACACAGTATATATTACACTAGACTATTCTTGTTCACATTACATTTTTGTATTTGATTTTAGGAAAATGTGAATTAATATAAACGTGTAGAATCTAATAATAATCGCCGCTCAGGACAGCAGGCCCAAGACTCGGACGTATAATTCTGATACAATTTAAAGTTATAAGCTTCACAGCTTTTGGTCGAATCGGGATTATTTGAATAATGGTTGCCGGGATGAATAAATGCTGTATCGCGACGGGAGAATTATGACTGGGCATTCTCTATGTATATCTCTATGTTTTACGCGCTCTCTATACACGTATATACGTGAATTTTACTTTATCCGGCCGAAATTAGAGGAGACCACACAAATTTCTGCGTCATAAATTTGAATTTAATTCGTTCTCCGAAATTTAATACGTTTCATAATTCGAAAACTCAGAGTCGCATCGGCAATGGGTATTTTACCAATCGCGTTTGTTATTTACCGTTCAGTTTCTCTCCCGTATCAACGAATCTGGCTGGCTGCATTTTATATATCCAAATAATAAGGTGTTTCGTGAAAGTAAAAATTTATGGTAGAGAATATAGAAATTAAATATTGCATGCAGTGTATTCTACATTCAGATTCTCAACAAAGGAAATATAATGGTTGGTGGCTGTCCAAATATACATACATTTAATTAGAATATGATAAAGTCTAATGAAAAACCGTACTACATTATTGTACTCGTATATCTGAAATTGTGCAGTTCAGTGACAAAGAAATGAATTATTAAACAGCAGTTAAACATATATTTCCTAGATTTAAGGAATGATTCAGTTTTCTGATTTCATTTATTGTTAACCGATCGTAATACTTAATTAACGATCAAATAGGTAAAAGCAGCATTGAAAAAAGGCGTGGAGTTCGGTATATTGAAAAAATATCGGGGTCACTATTTCCTTCCGGTCGGGGACGAAATCGATCGCGCAAATCGCGTCGCTCTGAGATTCTCCAAGCTACCATTGCCACGTAAAATCGCGGTGTTGGGAAGTAAAAGAAGATCTGCCATAAAATCGCGAAATAGGACGAAGCGGCTGAAGAAATACCGTTCACCCTTACTCTCGTCCACGGTTAGCATTGCGAATGCGATTTGCCAAGCTTGATAGTTCGTGAAGTTTGATTATTTGATTAACACATTGTGGATGGTCACTGTATTCAAAATTCAGAAGATTCTTGGATTGAAAATCTGATATTAGTGCGGATAGTGGTACCGATTTCGTTGTAACAATTCTTGTTTTATTAAACTGTGGTTAATGTTTGTCATGAAAATTGAGAATAAATGGCACAATGAAGCTTCGCGTGACTCATTACTTAATTGTGAATTATTTTTAAAAATGGATAAATGAATTGGCGTCTATGTAGAACTCGTGAAACAAAGAAATTAGAACATTATGTACTTGAACGTGTATTAATACATGGAACACAGTATTATTTATTTTCTAACAGCACGATGTTTCGGATTAATAATCTAATTATTGCAAATATCAGTACATACATCAATACGCTGCCGGTGCTACGAATTAACTAATTATTAATAAGTAATATGCGATTTGCTAATTATTAATACTACTCAGTAGAATGCTCAGGGTAAAGCAGGGCGCTGCAGTATAATGCAGTTCTGCATTTGAATGCAGATTTTCCAATATTAATTCGTATCGATATTAATTCTAGTTTTAGAACTTACTCTTCGAGTTGCCTAGACAAATTGTAGCGCTTCGTTATCTGATCGGTGAAGTGTACTTGAATTTTTCGAATTGGAACGGTCTCATTGAGACTTCTATACGTCTCGGTACTAAATAAAATCGACGGCGATCGTAGATAGAGAGGATAGACGCCGATGAGACGGATGAATCGTTTTCTATTACGATATATCGATCGGGTTCCTTTTACTCTCCCATTCGGCACACGCGGATCGGAGACCCGAAGAATTAAGCGAAATGAAAGACGAGCTTTTTTCGTAGATCTCATCGAGAGAGACCCATCGGCCGACCGTTCAAATGGTTCTCCACCATTTATAAAACTTTTCGAGCTTCTTACCCAGCTTCCCGATAAACTTAATAGCTTCCGAAATTTACGGGATTCGGCGTTGAGGAAAATTTTTGCAATCCCGCGCACGCGTATTTTCTCATTGGGAAAAACGAGATTCCCCTCGCGGAGAAAAGTTTTTACATTGATTACGATGTCAATAAGCGTACCACGGCGCGAAGCCTTTCTTCTGCTAAAGAATCCTTTTATTAGATTTAGAGTTTCTTATAAAATTATTTATCTCAATCGTCAAATGTAATTTCCTTTTTAAAGATTTTTTTTGCCAACATCAGCAGATTTAATCTGTATTCTTTGCAAAAAAAATTAATTGTATTAAATGACGACGACTATATCAGTACTAATTATAAGTCAAAAACTAAAGGCATTACTTTGATAAAATTGTGAAGTTGAAATTATTTCATTTTATTGAAAAATTGTGTGGTGTGAACGAAATAAGTCTTGAATCTTTTTGCCTGATGAAGCAAACTCCTCTCCTTATCAGAATTTCGATTCCCAGCAAAAGTTGTAAATGTTACTGTTTTTCTTCGCACGATGAGAGGACCTAAGAGAATAGCTTGCATCCAGCATTCCTAGAGAGTAATGCCTAGTATTTATCATCACAGTTCCTGAGGGACACGCTGTTCTCACGAGTGAGGTTTTTATTTTTTTTCTTGGCGAAATAAATAAAAATGTCTATGCTCCCAAGAGACCGAAAAAGGTACGCGATAAGAGAATCTACGAAAAATGGTGCTTTTATTCATCTCCCTCTGTGCAATACATTATGGATCCTGCATTTTGAGTATTTCGATCTCATCGTTACGTTATTGTTTATTTCGTATTTCTTCATTAGCTGATTTCCTGCTCTGCTCATGCTATAAAATATATTACGTGTAATAAAATGTAGCTTCAATTTGTTGTTCATCCTCATTCTTTCATCTCAATCTCTACTAAAATTTTTCCTTACAATATCATAAAATAGTTTCAACGTCAGTCAATAGTTTTAACCGACGAGGAAGCCACAGGCGTAATCAAGTTAAACAACGAATGAAGTTTGCTGCACGAGGCTAAAGCATAACATTTCACGTCGATACGCTTCGATATCTGTTTTCGTATTCAATTTTTGAATATTTCTGTCACAAATAAAATATCGCGCGCGCGTACCTACGTCAAAAGCATCGGGAATATTTTCGGTAGAATTTTCAAGCTCGCTCTTCTCTCTGGAAAAACGAGTTGCACGCGACGGAAAATGACCAATAGAGGAAAATCGGACCCACCTAGCTAGCACGCACGCACGCACGCACCCTCGACTATCGGGGAGCGGGTATTCCAAATGAATGGCATTAGCCTGAAATTCCACGGGGGTCGCCCGCGGCGCCGCGGTTCCGCCGACTGCAACTGCGTGGCTCGTATTGACCGATACAATTCTCTGGCTCGCCTTTGTTGCCCTGGGAAGACGATTGCGCTCCGGATTTTCTCTTAAGCTTACCGAAATATACCACGCGACGCAGTCGTATTTGTCTGTCTTTTGAAGACTTTGAAAAATGTCCGCAGAACTGTTCCTGATATTCTCTAATACGTTTTCATGCATCGTTACCCCTTATTACTATATTTTATTTGATCCGATCAAGTTTATAGTAACGATGGTACTATCACGGACTATGCTTAAAAAATAAATTATGAGTAGTACGTAATATTTGATTTCATGCAATTTATGTTTGTCAAATTGTTATAATCTGAGATTGGGTCTAGTTTCCTTGTGTAGTTCTGAAAAGGAATCTCTCATAAATCATGTAATTGATCCGCCAGAATGAAACTGCACCGTATACAGTATCTTGAGTGAATTATTAACTATTAGGCTAATTGTGAGCTTGTTGATAGTCACCATTAATCAGTTACCTAATATTAATTTAACAGGGTAACCCGAAGAAGGCTGTAACCTTCTTATTAGAATACATGGATCGCGTACTCGTTAAGCGAGAATATACTATAGTTGAAGATTTCCGAAACAACAGATTAATCGCTCGTCGAAATTGAACGCGTCAACATTAATAATCGCAGACGACGTTGCCGGGATTGCCTTCCAACGATGTAAATTCACTGTTATAAATTAATAAGCGTTGACTGCTACCGCTACTACTAGCATCGTTGCGGAGTTCTCCTAAATGCAACGATATGGCTCGCGCTAAGTAATGGAATTCTAACTGGTTGGGAACGTAGCATAAAAGTTACCTTCTTGAAATTCGGACTCGTTGCTTCAATTTTTAACGAAGCATTAGGAGAAATAAGTAGATAAATGAAATCCATCAAATTAATAAAATACTGTGTATCTTCATTTATGGTGCTTAAGGTCCAAATTTTAGTTATCCATCGCTTTAGTCTTGGTTGTCCAAAATCTAGAATGCTAATACTTTATAAGCACACTCGATACGTTAAAATATTTAGTGTCCATAATCTGAGCTGTTCAATAATTTTTTCTTGATTTCTCACATTAATTATTATCAGAGATGAGATCAGAGAGTTTTCAGAAATTTACATCAAATTTACTATTCTATTAATGTACGATGTTCTTGTGCAACTTTAAAATTATGCTTATTACTTGAATAAGATGAATGAAACTGGTGCTACCTCAGAGTCCAGCAATTGCAAGAAATTTTCACGCACTACACTGTGCTGTTATAACGCAAGAAGGATATCTCTCTCTCTGTCGCTTCCTAAAACTTTTTTCTAATTAAGAATTTAATTTGCGTTGTAATTCCACGATGCTGCCCCGTGAGAGAATAATTCGGGACGTAATTGCGGGAAATAAGGGTCAGTATTTTCGCATCCAAGAGTTCTTTTCCTTGACTCTCGGGCATGATTCAGAAACGGAAGATTATTGTGATGTACGTATTGCGTTGTAAGAGATAGAAACTGCGTTCGAAATTTGCATAGGGAAAACCGAGTCACGTTTCATTATGAGATATATCGGGAATATTGTACATAAATACATGAACATTATCTACTTCATGTTATGTTTTCGGTTTCCGATTCGATAGTTTTACCGAATAAAATAATGCATGACCGCTGCTTTCGATCATATTTGGTCAAGGACCGCGAAAATTCTAAGATTCATTTCTACTAATTTATTAATCAGAATTATTCATTTTTACGATAAATTAGATTCGAAATAGAGGAAATTGATTTCAATAGAAATCCATTTAGACAACTGTTAATAGTTTATTCACAGCTGCTGTGTATGTACAATAGTTCTCGCAAATTGTTAACTGTTACTGCCTCCTTTTATCTCTAAATCACAAATTAAATCAGTACTTCTAAATACGTAGCGAACTGAAAAGGACTTCCGAGTCTTCTGTTTCATCGCGTCACTCTATTCGCAAAAACAGTTAGAATATCATCTTGTTTAAAGTTTTCTTGGTAATTAAAACCGCGTTTTGTTTAATTTCCATGCTGCAGGTGTACGTACCCGTCTCTCCTTCTTTTTTACCAGCCATTTGGTATGATTTATTCTCATAATTAGAATATACCTAGCTACCGTGGCCCGCTCTAACACTCGAGGTTCTCTTTGAAAGACAAAAAGGAACGACCACGTTGCTGGAACATTTTCTCGTTTTATGTAGCTCATCCTCATAAAACGAACTGCTGGTCACACAGGAGCTTTATGGATCATGTAATGGAAAATATAACGAGTTGGTACCTGGTAAAGAGTTCCATGTATTATATCAGGAATAAAAAACGATTCCGTGTACGCTACCGGTCGATGAGAAAATTTTCATGTATTTTCTCTTCCTGCTTTGCCGGAAGGGAAGCTTTTCAATTAACTGCTCAGTAATAATTGTTCGTAAACATAGGATTCACATTTTCAATTAAAATTTAATAGTAAACATGACAAGCAACATATTAAAAAACGTCTATTGTCTCGTCATTGAATAATTTATTTGTTGACATAAAATTGATCATTGTTTTTAACATTACTTAGTTTTTATAAAAAAAAGTATTAACTTTTTTCAAGTAAAAATTTTCAAGAGATATTTCCACAGAATTTTTAGTACGGGTACTCTTTCGAGCAATATCAGATTTT